CCTAACAGGGCAACGAGCAAAAGGGACAGTTTCAGTACAATTGTTATTCCATTTGCTATTCACTTTTTTCCTTGGCTTCTATGGAAAAACAATTATGCTACTGAAGAAGCCTGTTGGAAGTATCTGCAGTGAGAACCAAAGCTGCTCCCCTGCCTGTCAGAGTTCCTCTTACACGAAGCTGGTTTGCTAATTTGCCCATCCTCTGGAACCACATAAGGAATCATAAAAGGATGCCCCCATTCACAGTGAATAATACAGTCACATGGAGCAAAGATAACAGAGGCATTAAAGGAACACATACACAGCTGATGAAAAGAAGGGATGCTTTAGAAACTCAGGCAATAGCAATGCAGCAAGCAAAGCCTGGAATGTTGATTTGACAATTGTTATTTCCCTTTGCAGTGTGTGCAATGGGATCAGAAAAACAGAGGGAGCTGAATTAATCCTATGGCAAACTGTGCTGACATAAGTCACTTTGCATCCTACAGATTTGGCTTTAACTTCAAGTTGACCTCATTAGTACAAAGAAAGTGTTCTTCAAGAATGACACTGAATTAGAAACTGCTTTACGCATTTCTAGAGACTAACACAATATACTATAATTAAAGACATTATAATCAGCGATTTGATTTCTTTTGCTTTGACTTCACCTTGGCTTATTTATTTATTTATTCATTCACTTTGGAAAGGTCTCAAAGTCAAATTCAATTTTGTCATTTGCTCATGCTTAGATCTGCGCTGTTTTTCTGGAAATGTCATGGAAGTGCTGGTAATGAGATGCCAAAACCATCAAGCAATATTTACAATGTAAGGGCCAGTTCAAACATAAAAGCAGTTTGTATTTCTGCACCACAGGCACATCTGCAAAGTCTTTGGGGAACAGAGAAATCTGTTTTCTCCTTATTGGCTTGGCCTTTCATTAGTAATAAGTCAGAAAGAATGGCAGGCGTTCTTCAAAGAGTAAAAGAAATGTAAAAAACAAATAGAGAAGCAGGTGCTTTTAGTTTGTTTAATTTTGTACTTTTAAACACGTCTCAGGTGTAGAACTGAAAGAATTCTTGCAAAGGCACTGTTTACTCAGACAATTGCAACTCTGTTTATTTAAACTGTGGTCATGATGTCAAAAGTTGAGCCAACCCATTCCAGTGTACATTAACAATGGCCCAGGAATGCCTCTGTGACCCACAGGGGATTCTGGCAGCCCTCGAAGTCCACCTAGAGACCACTCTGTGAGAGACACTCAAGCACCATGCTAACCAGCCAGGTAATGGTTTCTCTTTGGTGATTGAAGAAGCTCAGATTCATGGATGTCTGAAAATCACATTTTCAAGTGCATCCTCTAGCTTCAAGTGTCTTGAGTGTCCAGTGACTGATCTACCAGGAGATACTGGGGCATCACTCTGTCTGTGAAGTCAGTGGCAGCTGCAGTTATGAGCACCTTTGAAAAAATTACTGCGAGTCAATAAACCTCTCAGGGTTTACTTGAGGTCAAGAAGAGGGGCTAAAAGTGCCCCAGAAAAAAACTACTTGTGCTTATCTAGGCAGTCACAAGAACGGAGGAAGCATCCAGAAAAGGCTATGGAGATACCACAGAGGAAGGAGGTCACCTCTGAAGTTCCCCAGGCCCTTTGGGGGCCTCAAAGGAAATGTCTTGACTTCTCCTCCCAACTTTCCTTCCTCTTCCTCATCAGCCTCTATTCTTAGCAGCTTTGTCTGAGAGCTGGGAATAGAACATGGTTTCTTAATTCCTCACCTCCTGTTACCTCATATTTTGTCTCTGAGTGCTCAGGGTGGTGGCAGAGGTTTAAGCCTTGCATGGAGCTGTTTATGTTTACACAATGACTGCTTTCCCATTGAGCAGGGTTTCTTTGGCCACTGGGACTTGCTGTAGGCATGAGATCAGTCCTGTTCGGTTCAAATGATTTAATTCCTCCAAACAACATTACACAGTCCTGAAAATGCCATGCCTTGCCCAAATCTTAAGCGTTGTGTTCAGCAGTGAGCACTTGGTGCCAAAGAGTTACCCGTGTTCATGGTCCACAAACTCTGCTCTTGGCACAAGACATGAAAACGACACCAGAACACACTGCTTTTTCTTCCCTGCTGCATTCAGCAAGACCACTTAATTACACTTTAAGATGGAACTGGCTCAACAAGTTGGGCAGCTTGCAGGGCTGCTGGCCAGAGAAGCTGCACCTGCACTGCTGCCAGCAGGCAGCAAGAGAAGAGAAGACGACACCCAGGCCCCAGCTCTGCTGTTGGGAGTGACTTCCCACGCGAAAAACAAGTGGAAAACACTGTCTTTCTTCTTCCTTAGTCCCATTACTCCTTACTCCATCTACCCCATCTAATCATTATGACATCTGAGTGCCTTTGTGTGTCAGCTTCCTGTGAAGTAATCACCTAAATCCCCTTCTGAAACAAAGCAGACCCTGCTGAGGAACTCACAATAGGTGCCTTTCACTGGCAGGACAACCTTGGCCTCAGTGGCACTTATAACAAAGCTTCCATATGTGCACCAGTATGGGCTGATCAGTCAGATCAACACCACACAGGATCAGAGCCTGGGTATTTGTGAGCATGAAGCAATAAAGCCTCACAAAATTTCTCCATCTTTCTGAAAAAATAGCTTTTGGTGGTTTTATATTTTTAAAATATGCGGTAGCATATTAATCTGCCACACACTTTTATCCACATTTATGAGTCTGTTTAAGGAGATAAAAAAGAAGCACCAGCTCCAAGGGGTGATGTCTGTCAGTCATCACCACTTTCAGAGACTGCCTGGCCATTGTCTGCTCTTCAAGCCCAGGCTAAGGCTACTTTTTAGTATTTCCTTTGGCAGACATGCTGGGTTTTCCCCCTCCCTGAGGGAGGGATCAAGGGCAATAAGTTCTATTCTAATAGAAGACAAGTCAATGATAATCTTTGGGCATCTGCAGTGAAGAGGTATTTCTACAGCTCTAGCTGGGATTAGGCACATAATGGATCAATGAAAGATCCCACCTTTTGACGGTTATAGCATCATTCATTAGCGATAAGATTTGAACCTGAATCAACAATTGAGTTAGAAGATTGAAAGAACTGCTTTCAGTATTTGAAATAAATTGTAACAGGTCTGTAAAAGTCCCCTGAGGTGTCTCTCTTTCTCTCTCTATACATATATATAGAGAGATCAGTTTTGCTGAACGTTTAAAATTAGATGAAAGTTGCTGAGCTTCTACGCAGGAAGAAGAAAAAGCAGAGCTTCTTATGTAAAGTGAAAGGGGGCAAAATAATGTATTTTTTGTTTGCCTACAGAAGCACTTCAAGAGCATTCTTGATCACAGGATCCAGGCACTGACTTGTTATTCACTTATCATCTCTCTCATATATAACAATTCATGAAGAGCTAATAATAAACAATACGCCCCCTCCTTACACACAAACAGGCAAACACACTCAGGAGCTCCTTGTAAGTGAGCAGCACTGATCCCATCCACTTTTCTTGTCACAAAACTAGGACAAGTTCACTCTTAATGAGGGTCTGCTTGGGGCACAGACCACTAAAAAAAATTAACTACTCAGAGGACTTAGACACCAAGTTTTCAGTCTCAGCTTGTTATCATTTCTGGAACAAAGACTCATCCACCCACTACTAATTTGGTAAGAAATTAAATGTGGTAAAAAAACCAGTTCCACAACTGGGTGATGAATGTTATGGGTAGTTAACGATTAATTACCATTATAATACAAAATAGCCTGGTTTCACTGTAAAACCTTGATTTCATAGCATTATTTTTCCTTGTTTCTGAAAGGCAGTGAGTAGAAGCAACTATAAAATGCTCTGTAGACCAGGAGATCTTGAACCAGAACTCAGTCCTGCAGCCTGACCTGCACAATGGAGCTGTGGTGGGGTGGCTGCACTGCTCTCCCAGCTGGGGACAGTATATTTTGGTGCTTGCCCACCCTCTCTATTACCTGAGAGATAACCCAGCCCTATGCTATTCCCATTGTCCCTTAGTTTTGTAGGCATAAACCCCAAGGCCAGCTAACTTGGACCCGTGTCCCTCTCTCAGAGCAGTTGAGGGCTGGTTTGGGCAGAGGATGGTGTCTGACCTGTTGGCTCGTCAGGATAAAGCGTAACTCCCGACAACAGTCAAACAACTTTTTCCTGTGACTGTTTTCTAGCTATATAAAATCAGCACAGCTCTTCCTGTTGGCTTGCAGAAAAGGAAAATAATTAAACAATATCCAGATTTTTATTAAGTGGATACCTACATAACTAGTGGCAACACAAATACGTGCCAAGCCAGCGGATACTGGAAGAAGAAAGATCATAACTATGGGAGCCACAGCAGATCATAGTTAGCACAGAAAGCTGTTGAAGAGATTGTTTAAATTATGACCCAAAAAATAGAAAAAAGTTCTCTGATTCTTTATCTGTGTTTATTACACAGGTCAGTTTTGAAATTGCAATTGCTAGCCCGTCAGAGAGCTCCCTGAATCATTTACTAAGTATAAATAATTTAAAACCAGTCAAAAAGCAATGCAGTCAAACATTCTGCCTGTTGCCCTACTATTACTATTGAAACTGAACTCAGATGCTGATGTTAAGTTTTTTAACGCTGAGAAAACCAGAAAGAGTGACCATTCCAAAGCCTATATCCCTGTCCTCCCTGACTGCCTGTGCTATTAGTTTGGGGATAGTTGCTTATTGCTGATAGGCATCAGCCACCTGCCAGAGCCACTTGGTAAATACTGAACTGTCAGCCAAGCCACCTGTGCATGGAATGACACTAACTCCACGTTTTGTATCTGCAAGGTTGACTTGAGCAAGTTAAGGTTTGGAGAATGCAGTCTTTACAGTAGGGACTTTCTCAGTTGAGAGAAAGCTCTCTTAGGGGCTCTGTAAACTGCATGTACACATGGCCCTGTAATGCCAGTCAAGCTGTAAATAATAATTGCATTAACAGAGTCGTATTTAGTGATAGTAGAAAGGACATTTGCTTGAAAGTGCTCACCTGGGAGGTGCTGCTGGCTTCCAATACCTGCAGAAGAGATACTGCCCATCAGCGTTGATGATATGGGGCAGATCTTTGTATGGGATGTTTTGAGGACTCCGCTTTGGCGAACTTTCCTCTGGCATTCTGGAAGAATGACCTGCAAGGTGTTAGAAGAAAAAAGACATACTTTAAAACAGGTGGAGACAAGAGAAAAACTGATGGGCTTGGAAGTCACAGATGCTTAAGAAAGTCAATCAGTAAGGCAAGCACCACTGATGGGAGGCTGCTTCCAAAACCCCAGCCAAAGAGCCCCCAAGATCACTGCTTTAAACGAGAAATGTAGCAATTTTTGTTCTTCAGGAAAGACTCACATTTAGAGGTAGAGCATTGGGGGAGAAGGAGAGAGCAAAAAGAAGGAAAGATCAATCCACCATCAGTACTTCATTTACAGCTTTCTATTCCACACTTCTCCCATCTCAGTTTATTTTGAATCATTATGTGAAACGGATCCTAAAGAGAATATTTTAACTGCAATCAAGAGCAGATTATGCAGCAATAGCTACAGATATGAAAAGACAGCTGCATAAAAGATTTATCTCTGGCGGAACATCTCCAAAGAACAGTGGAGGGTACACAGCAGAGGTATCTGCCACCGTGTCATCATTAAGATCTTCTCTGACATCTCAGACAGGAAGGTGGCGGCGGCGGGGAGCGAAACATTTCCAGGAGAATTGTGCCACAAACCTGTTTTCATCCTGTGCAAGGGTTTGCATTCTAGTGAGGAGCCGGCATGGCAAGTCAAAGGCAAGCAGATGAGGCTTTTTGCATCTCGCTGCGGAGCCGCGTTCACAGCCCGGCAGCCCCGCGGCTCCCGGCGGGTCCCTCCCGGCGCTGCGCGGGGCTCGCCCCGGCTCCTCTCCCCGGCTCGCTCGCTCCTTCAGGAAAGTCGCTTGGGTAATTCACCACTTCTCGTTCATCACTTTTTTTTTTTTTCTTCTCAAACAAATTGCGTGTGCGGGCTGAAGTGGCGGTGGTGGGAGGGGAGGCTGGGAAGGGTTGGGGAGAGGGAGGGCTGGCGGGTGGGAAAGCTGCAGTCCACTTTCCAGAAGCTGCTGCACGTACATCAAAGGCACCTTGAACACATGCAGCTGGAGCCGCTCACAAAGTTCCTGCCGCGGCAGGTTGTTTGCAACTTTACTTCCTTCCTGCCACTTACAGTTCGGAGGCCGCGGCGACGGGGGGAGGCGAGGGAGGGGGAGATCTTTTCTCAAAGCGATCCCCGCTGCGAAGCCATCTCTCGTGTAAGCTCAACTTCCCCAGCCCCGCGCTGCCAGGCGGGGAGCGGGAGAGAGGGGAGGAGGAGGAGGAGGAGAAGAAGGAGGAGGGAGGATCCAAGCACCGACGCGATGCCAGGTCGCCAGCCCCGCACACGCATCCTCCTGCCGCGGCCGGGCGCGGAGCCGAAGCGCGGTGGCTCCACCGCACGGTGCGCACGGGCTGCTCCAGGAGAGCAGGGACACGGCGGCGGAAGGGCGGTGGGTGGGCGGCTGGGTGGATGGAGGATGCACGCACGCATGGATGGATGAAAAGATGGATGGAGGGGCGGGCGGTGCTGCCGCCCCCTCGGCTGGGCTGGGCCGGGCGGGCAGCGGGGGAGCCCCGCGGTGCCCCCGGGCCGCCCCCCTTCCCCCGGTGCCCTCCCCGCCGGGCTCCTGTGGCCGCCGCGCTCGGGGGAGCCCCCGCAGCCCCCGGCCCCGGCACCCGGCTGTAGGAGCGGCCGGGCTGGGGGACAGCGGAGACACCCCGGGGGCGGCGGCTCGCTCAGAATTTCAGAGAGAATTTCAGAGAGAGGACATGGTGGAGCCGTGCTGCTTCCCGGGCATTCCGGTCCGGACAGCTCCTTGGGATCCCAACACCAAACTTCGCCTGTTGGTGTTTCATGTGCATCTCTTCAGGCTTTGAAGCCATACCGGCTCAGATACTAGTTCAGGGAAGTGCCCACGCTTTGCACCCTCATTCAGGGTAAAGGCCATTTATAAACACAGCATATGATTTATACTCACATAAATCATTGTATCGCTATAGATTATATGCAATACATGTGCTGCTACTCGGTAATGTGAGATTTATTTGGTGGTACATGATACTTGCTTATAAAAATTGTCACAGCAAGGTTCCCTGAAGCCAAAATAGCTCCCCAGCTTTAAGGCATCCCAATACAGAATTTTGTCATTTAATACTGCTAAGTGCTTGGGATTTATTGAGCACAGATTCATGCCTTTTACATTTCATCAGCTCCTTTCATTTCTACATGCCTACATATACTTAGACGTCTCAAGCCTTTCTAAGAAGAGGCAGTTATTAACCTTATTTTTAAAGAGAGGCAGTATGTTCATCAAGTGCAAATCTGTGAACAAAGGCTGAGGAAAGGAAAGAAATACATGCTAACACTAATAGCAATAAATGCAAAACCTCAGAGATGAGCCGTATAAAAAGGAAATCAAAACCAGATTTTATTTTATTAATCTTTCAGTGTCATTTATATTAAATGCCTAAGGGGGGGTGTTAGTTATAAATGGCAAAAGCAAAATTACATGTTCCTGTAACGGCTGTTGTTTGAGAAAAAATAAACAAAACCAACATTTATGGTTGTTTATAATGAGTGAAATTTAGGTCAGATGGCTCTTAAGCAGAGCCTTGGGAGCTGTACCTGGAGCTGTACCATTTGCTAGGCCAGTTACTATCTAAGCATGAATGGGTGGAATTAAAGAGCTATCACAAGCCAGCTCCAGAGTTGGTAGAAGCAAGGACATATATAATTATTTAAATGATACAGATCAGATAATAACTGGATTAAGAAGAAAAGAAAGAAGGAAAGAAGCGTCTTCCCCCGCTCAGGGTTTATGTGCCAGGAACACTTCACTGCTTCCCTACAGCCATCCATGAAATCTGATGCCAGGAACATGCTCCTCTCCTGCTGTGGTGCTGGGAATATCAGAGTTCCCAGGGCCACAGAGGGGTGGAGGGAGTTTAGGAAAAAACTCCTTTAAACTTCTGGATAAAAATAGCATCTCAAGGAAAACGACCTTTGTTGGGACACAAGGGCGAGATCCTGGCTTTGAGAGCCTGCCCTGGTCAGTGCAGATATATGATTCCCTTGATACCCTGTTAACCTCGGTGTGGCTAAAATTGGAGACAGCATAGCTGTGGTGCAGCCTGCCTTCTCTGCAGGCCCAGATCCTCACCACAGCACTGGAATGAAGAATCAACCAACAGCTCCTTCCCTTCTCACCAGCTTCCCTAAGACCCTAGGAATCTGAGGACATTTCTTCCCATGGGTAATACACACTTCCCCATCTCAGTGTTAACAATATAAAAATGAATGAGGAGCAACTGCTGACTTGTTGCCTTATTATTTTGCAGAGTTTAAGCTGTGAATGAAAAGACACCAGAGAAAACTGGATTGGGCCTGGAGAATTCATGTACCTGATACCTAGACTATACACCAGGCTTCAGCAGAGCAATTGCTGCATACTGGCTCCCTGGGAGAAATCAAAGAGATGCCTGAGCATGCAGTATTTATGAGTTTGTAACATCTTCTCTTGTCTTGGTAGAGTGAAATACATTTCAGAAATAGAGTTTAAGCTAAATCAACTTCTAATAAAAAATAGATTCGCACTTAGTGAATCTTTACACTAACTCAGCAATTACTCAATCCTTGTAGGAAAGGATGTTTGGTTTATTAAAGACTGAGCCCTGCTTAATGTGTCTCCATTGACTCCCAAGGTATGCACAGGAATACAGAGAAAAGGGGTACACTTACAGATGAGGCAAATTTTAGGAAAAGGATCAATTGCTGGAATGACAGTAAATACATGTAATGAAACTTGTTATCACAGCAAGGAGAGGAGAAGGGAAGGGAAAGAAAGGGAAGGGAAGGGAAGAAGAGAAAAGAAGAGAAGAGAAGAGAAGAGAAGAGAAGAGAAGAGAAGAGAAGAGAAGAGAAGAGAAGAGAAGAGAAGAGAAGAGAAGAGAA